AAATTTTAAAAATGTTATGTTATTATTAGGTCTGAACAGTACCACATTAAGCGCAATTTCGAAATTGATATTGACGTCTGATGTTACGGACGATGTGATTGCCGTCATACGGCATGTAGTCGAACAATTGAATAATAGACTTCTATCTGAAAATGAACAGTCAGTTGAGATGCCAGTCAACGTAAAACTATGGCACACTCCTGGGTGTCACGAGCTTTTAGCATCTCTAGGTAAACATTTTTGTTATAATATTTATTTATTTTACTACTATATAATTATTTACTTATCAAATTTCCTTATACAGGTTTCGACTTAATTGAAGTTGGAATAGACGAAGTAACACTGCGCACTGGCAAACAAGCCAATAAACGCAGTATTCAATTTGTTCTTCAAGCTCTGTTAGCCTTATTTGGTAAGTTTATAATATATTTAATTAATTGTGTCATTTTTATAAATTTCACATTGTTTTAAAATTGTCGTTTTGAAACGTATAGACACCCAAGAAGCCCCTAAAAGCCTTTCCTTGTGTTCATCAAGTTCACTCGAAAGTGTAGTGACTGTTGAAGACGATAGGCAAAARGATTCTCCGTTAAAACCTAGTTCAACCAACGCACTGCGAGTGTCTGGAAGTAATGGATCCGGAGCATTTACCAGTTATGTTAGGAAAAGAGGAGAACCAGATGGTAGAACTGCTTCAGATGCGTCCACTCAAATCACTAAGGTAAGCTATATGACAACGCGCATATTATTGTATTTATTTCGCATACTATTGTTTTTTTTTTTTTGTACTCCAGAACTCTACTGGAGTGCTAGTTATGCCTACGATATTGAGTCGCAGATCCGGTGGTACTAATGGCGGCGGAGAAAGTGACGCTGCATTTACACCATCACCACCAGTTCCTGGATTAGGGGATGCATTAAGCAAAACTCTAGCACACCAAACTAAAATCAGAAATCTATATTCTACTCCCGTCAGACCAGATTCGTCGAGTTCGGCTAGCTCSGCCACGGATTGGGAAGGTTAGTGTTTAAAAAATTTTGAACTAAATACGAACCTCTAGTTGCATTTTACCCAACCACCGATCACACATGAATTTACTGTACATATGATACATATTATATATGTCTATCCTATATTATATATATATGTATAGAGTCTATCCCATGAGAGAATATGCCAGTTCCGYTCTTATAGAACGAGGTCTGTCCACCGAATTCCCTTCATGTGGCCAGCTGTCACCGTCGACGTCAAGCGACATTGATCGCGGACCACCCATTGAGAATTTGGTGGTTGTGGTGCACTCACTGAGTGACAGAGCTGGCCCATTATTGCTATCGCGCCTCATGTTCTCTCGAGGAACATAGTACTTAGATATTATAGTTAGCGTGACCAYAATTTATTTTATTCAAAGCGGGACACCTGTATATTTTAATAAGAAAACCATAATTTTACGTAAAATAGCAATTTTTTTATTAATTGTTTCTATAAAAAATGACAACAGGAAAACGCAGATAATATATTAATCATATTAGTGCCCCAACAATCTATGGACTATGGGTTTTAGTGTTTTACAGTATATGTAAAATATGTAGGTATACATATATTGTAAACTGTATAGGTATTGTATAAATGTATGATTGTAATTTGTAATATGTGATCAATAAATACCTACCAWAAGTCGACTTTTCTAAAAGCAGGACATTTTTAGGTTCTTTGGGGGCAGTGGGCAGCGAGACACTTACCTCGAAAGCTAGACGCATGGTCACGCTAAGTATAGTCCTTTAGTAAAAATCATTATACCTATGTAGTATAATAAAATATTGAAGGTTAATCAGTCATTAAAAAGAATTTCAAACAGAAAATACCATGTGTGGATAGACTATAATAAATATCTCGGCAAATCAATAAATGTGTGTACAYGTTAGGTATATATTAATTAGTATTGAATTTAGATAMGCACATAATAGCATYAAAGTACAAAACCAACTTATTGTGTCGGAGGGTGGCACATTAATTTCTTCGTAAATATATTATTATGCTATTTTCTATTATAATATTATGTTTTTCGTTTAAATCAGTACAAATTATATTAACTATTGTCGACTCTATTTGTACATTATTGTAGAAATACATTACATTAGTCACTCCATTACTTATGTCACGTAACTGTCACTTATTGTCARTGTACTGTGCTGTACTKCTGTWGTTACTGAACATTATAGCATTTATGGTATTACAGCARTCTTAGCATTCTTAGCTTGAATGCGTTTAGGTGTGGTCGAGTGGACGCAGCTTAATGAGTGTGTAAAAATAGATTTCTGTTTGGGATATTCGAAGTTTTTAATGGAAAATGTAGACGAGAGAATATTGTGATTATCTAGATTTTGGGACAAAAAMAAATAACAATCATTTGACATTTAGMAGCCGCCAGCCGGTGGAAATAATACCTAAATTTCAAAATAAGCATAAGGCACAATAACTTGGTAATTTTCTTTATTTTTATTTTTAAGTAGGTAGGTATTATTTGTTTTTTATTATGATTTTGATAAGAATTAAGAAATATACAATATATGGTATATACGTACAACAAGTACAATAAATATCTATATGTGATGTATGATAATTATTATATAAACATCATGTTATAAAAGTCATAACTGATCATGAATTAAGGCTCGGAACTTAATGCACTTCAAAAGTACTAAAATAATATGCTNAAGTTTTAACTAGATCAACAGGTAGTACTACAACTACATTATAATAATTTATTTTTTAAAACATTTATTAAGTTTAAATAATTAACTCTATGTGTCTACTTGTTTACCTAACAYATTTAAGCATTGGCTAGATTTAAATGTACAATTTTGGTTAAACAATCTTTATATAATTTGAATAACAATGAAATAATAATTGTGAKGTCAAATATGTGGGTTTTAAGCGATTCAATTTTAAATAAAATCATAAGCTGGTGAAAAATAAACACTTCTTGTAATACCATTTTAATTTTGAAAAATAATTAGAAATCATTAGCATATTATCCAAATTTTTTTATGTTTTGTAGGTGAAACAATTTTTCGTTTTTTAAGGTGTACATTTTTATTTGAGAAATTAAGTAAATTAATTCGCCAGCCTATCGGCACAATGTAAATATAAAAAAAATGAATTCCATGTTTTAGTATTTTATACATTTTGGCTATTTAAAGATTAGATCTCAGGCATTGACGACTCATCAGAAGTTGCCTATATTTTGACCCTTTAAAATATCCAGTAAGAGACACCTTACGGGGATTATTGGTGTATATTTAGGAATTCATTAAGGGCTTGCGTGTGTAACTTTCGACTGTGTATAAAAATGTATAATAAATAATAATTGATAAATGATTATTAGTGTGTGTGATATGCAGTCCCARGAACAAGTCAATATATATAATACATATATGATTATATGGATAATACAATGTTAATATTATATTATTTACAGTTAAAAAGTCGAAAAAWAAATTTTAAAAATGTTATGTTATTATTAGGTCTGAACAGTACCACATTAAGCGCAATTTCGAAATTGATATTGACGTCTGATGTTACGGACGATGTGATTGCCGTCATACGGCATGTAGTCGAACAATTGAATAATAGACTTCTATCTGAAAATGAACAGTCAGTTGAGATGCCAGTCAACGTAAAACTATGGCACACTCCTGGGTGTCACGAGCTTTTAGCATCTCTAGGTAAACATTTTTGTTATAATATTTATTTATTTTACTACTATATAATTATTTACTTATCAAATTTCCTTATACAGGTTTCGACTTAATTGAAGTTGGAATAGACGAAGTAACACTGCGCACTGGCAAACAAGCCAATAAACGCAGTATTCAATTTGTTCTTCAAGCTCTGTTAGCCTTATTTGGTAAGTTTATAATATATTTAATTAATTGTGTCATTTTTATAAATTTCACATTGTTTTAAAATTGTCGTTTTGAAACGTATAGACACCCAAGAAGCCCCTAAAAGCCTTTCCTTGTGTTCATCAAGTTCACTCGAAAGTGTAGTGACTGTTGAAGACGATAGGCAAAARGATTCTCCGTTAAAACCTAGTTCAACCAACGCACTGCGAGTGTCTGGAAGTAATGGATCCGGAGCATTTACCAGTTATGTTAGGAAAAGAGGAGAACCAGATGGTAGAACTGCTTCAGATGCGTCCACTCAAATCACTAAGGTAAGCTATATGACAACGCGCATATTATTGTATTTATTTCGCATACTATTGTTTTTTTTTTTTTGTACTCCAGAACTCTACTGGAGTGCTAGTTATGCCTACGATATTGAGTCGCAGATCCGGTGGTACTAATGGCGGCGGAGAAAGTGACGCTGCATTTACACCATCACCACCAGTTCCTGGATTAGGGGATGCATTAAGCAAAACTCTAGCACACCAAACTAAAATCAGAAATCTATATTCTACTCCCGTCAGACCAGATTCGTCGAGTTCGGCTAGCTC